CAAAACAGAGGGAGAAACAGTTACCTGGTGCTGTTCAAACCCTCTCGGCACCTCTTAAGTTAATTTGACATGTTGTTTAACTGTACCCGAATCAACCATTGGCCTTGACCTACAATATGTCACTGAAAGAGACGTGTACCAACCAAGATGAGACTCAAAATGATTACAAACAGAACACGATGGGTCCAAAGAAACAATTATGAAAAGGGGAAAACAACAACAACAACAAAAACTACTATGAGATACAAAGCAACTAAAAAGTCACAAACTAACCACAAAAGAGACGCTGTGGCTTTGTATTTAACAGAATACATTAAAGTAATTACAATCACATATCTAACTCTCTGCCAGAAAGTGAATAACCGTTTTCCCAGATTTTCAAACGTTTGCTTTAAGTGCAAAACCCAAGACACAGCGTTTATGGTGAAACACTAAAATCAAATTAATTTTCCACCCATAAAGCTGTTCTGTAGTCTGTGCGATGTAACCCTGCATGTTTATATTCCACATGACATGCCTTATGTGAACCTGGTATAAACTCAGATAGTGACTGATCATAGTATTTTGGGTGTACAGGACTAAATAGTTTTATATGATTTTAAATGACTAGGCTTGCTGTAGTTAACCACTGTGTCATCTATGCTATTTTCTTCCTTTTACTTTGTATTTATTTTTTAAATTTCCTATAATTTTACCAATGTTATTTCATTCTGATTGCGCTATAATTTGCTCTGTCATGACTGTAATGATAAATGACTGAATTGTCAATATGGGCAGCATTTGAGTTACAAGTTAACTCTTAAACCGGTAAAGTAATTTAACATTTGAGAGCCAAAAAATAGTTTTATTCCAGATCACATAAATCACAGGCTTTAAGGATGATGGTTGTGATTTATGAGGGATGAATCTAGGCTGAAGTTTTTCACGTGTAAATGTCTTTCAATTTAATTTTCATTAGTGATATTTTTCTATTCTAATGCATTATGTATGGGATTTTTATTTAGCATTTTGATGTGCAACATTCAAACATCAGCTAATCAGTTTTTTGGATTTCACAGTTTTTTTGCAAATATTAGTAATATTATCTTTTTCATTTCAAAGAGTAGTGATTTTGTGAATAGAAACTTGATGTATGGTCATTAAATAGACCATAAACATTTGAATTTGACGAAATCCTTTTTGGTTGGGGATGCTGAAAAAATGCACTTTGAAAACTCACTGAAGCTTTCCTTCTTTCTTTTTGTTGCACTACTATAGATGATTTTATCTCAGTGGTTACACATATTATCTGACACTGTAATCCTTTACAGCAGCACAACAAACAATTTGCAGCAGTAGGGGACCTCCTTCATTAGTACTGTACGCGGTCAATTCAAAATGTATAAAACAAAGTTGTAATATTTAAAGAATGATCAAATGTTCAACTTTCATAGCAGATTACATACAGCATCGGATCCTACACACACATTGTATTTACATTTGTTGAATGGAAGAAGCTGTATTAAAATTGAATTGATTGGTACTGTGTTATCCTTAATAAAGAGATACTCACTTTTTGCACTGTATGACTTTGTGTTATGTTGGAGAGAAAATGAAGTATGCCATTTATCTGTTAAATGAACGTAAAGACTACTAGTTGCAGTTCAACAAAGTCATTAAAAAACATGTGAAAAATAAGATACTAAGCAATACAAACTTTAATGCTGCCATGTATCAATGAAGTTATAGTAAAGCTATGTTGTGTTCTATTTAATTTGTAAGTCTTCATTTTAGACATCATGTAAAAACCCAGTTTTTTTCACATTACACCATGGAATCTCTGGGTAATTACATCGACATTATTGGGGTAAAGAATCAATAAGCTGCCATAAATAATATGTTTCTTAAAATCAGAATAGGCACTGTATTCAGGGTTCGAGTTATAAACTGAGCTCTATGGGGGTCTTTGAAACTAGCACGCACGCACGCACGCACGCACGCACACACACACACACACACACACACACACACACACAATAAACATATGGACAGGGGTTACTATTTAAAAAAAATTGCAAATGTATTTGGGAACCTATCCATGTGAACATATTTTGGGGGTGGACCTCAAATCCTCTAGGGGGGTCCGGGGGCATGGTAAGATATTTTTTTAATTTTGGAGTTAAATGCATCAATCTGGTGCATTTTGAGGGGAAAATAAAGAGACTAGATCTATGGAAACACCCATATGAAACAGATGCCACATCATAGACAGACAGTCACCCTGTGTGAGGCAAACCCACATTTGCGTAGCGTTGCGTTCACAATAGCCTACATTAAGGCCATCGGGAAACCTCCCGGCCCTCCCGATGGCCAGTCTGGGCCTGCCAGCAGCCCTCTACTCGCTACAAACTTAAATATGAAAACATAGCCGTGGGAACATGTTTCAAATGGGGGGTGCTGTGGGGATGACACCAGGGCCGGTTCTGACCAATTTGCTGCCCTAGGCAAGATTTTTGCTGGTTCAATTATATCTTATTTTATCAGTTAACATTTATTTATTCATCCATATTTTTTAATCTCTCCAGTTTTAAAGGATATTGTTGGTTTACTGTCCTATAGTATACATGTGCCAAGAGCAAGGACTGTCTTAGGTAAGACAGCTTTTATGTGCGCAGCTCCACTTGCTTGGAACAATCTTCAGCAATAATTGAAACTGAGCAATCTCATTCCTCTGCATGTTTTTAAAGCTAGGCTAAATGAAATGCTCGTTGATACTATGGGTACTTGTAAATGTCTATAACTATGTAAATGTATCCTGTAAATATAATGTATGATGTCCTTTATTGTTTTATGTTTCATGTGGAACCTATATGCTGCAGGTCTCCCTTGAAAAAGAGATCTATGATCTCAATGGGACCAATCTGGTTAAATAAAGGTTTGAAATGAAATGAAATGAAATGACATTGGAATGATTTCAAACTTGTTTTATTGATCCTAATAATTATAAAGGTGTGCCTTGGAAATATTTGTTTACATAAATTGTGATAAAACCGTTTGAGACACACTGAGATGACTTAGACTAAAAAATCTAAACAGTCCTTTACCTCACTGAGCCTCTCAGGGCAAATGGAAAATGTAACCGGGGTGAAAAGGGTGTTATCTTTACTTAATTATGAATGTGAACAGTTTGTATCAACAGCTTTTACAATGTGCTGCTGACTGCTGGAAAGTGGTTTTACTTTAATGTATTTGTTTCGTCCATTGTGCTAATGCAGGTGGGGCCGACCAGTTATACAAGAGGTAGATAATAGCTGTACTTTTTTTTTAATGAGCCACATGCCATGATGCACCAACATAATTGTATTATTTAGACTGACATTAAGAAGTTGAATCAACTCATTACAGGGCGAGAGAGTGAGAGAGAGCGAGAGATGAGAGAGAGAGTCGAGAGAGAGAGAGAGAGAGAGAGAGAGGGAGAGACGAGAGATGAGAGAGAGAGAGAGAGAGAGGAGAGAGAGAGAGTGAGAGAGAGAGAGAGAGAGAGAGAGAGAGAGAGAGAGAGAGAGAGAGAGAGAGAGAGAGAGAGAGATCAGACAAAGTGATATGAGTGATAGTGAAACGTTTTAACTTTCATTTAGCAAAACATAGCGTGAAACTTTACATGCAAGTTTCAAAGTAACTTCCTGAAATGTAATTGTCTGCGGTGATTCTACGGAGTCCCCAAAGGCCCAAAAGTGTGCACACAAAACATATTTTCGGCTGCCCGGGCATAAATCTCTGTTAGTTTAAACTCCCACTTCACTACTTTACATTCAATACAAATAGCTTATAAAATGTGGCACGGCATTATTGATAAAGCTACATATTAGTCTATAAAATAGTTACATCATACTTATCTTAACCAGCAACACCAATAAAATACTGCTTCACATAAATGCATCGCAAATAATCATCAGTTTGTATTCAATGCATATAGAGGCAACTGAACCACACATCAACATTTCATCCATGCATTTCTTCACTTGTCAGTAGTTGTTCAAGCTCTCAAACAAACAAGCGGGCAGTACATCACGGCTCTTTTTGCTGCTACTTTGACAACATGGTTGCAACCGGTTTTGTTTTCGTGCTGTTGATGCCAATTTTCATTTTTTTATATAGTGAGTTGATGATTTCATAAACTAAGAGTGAGGTATATTTTCGCCTCGCAAATTTTCCATCCAAATGAAGCAACATTTCTAAATCATTTTCAGACAAATTTGACTACACATGTTAGTGTTGTTAGATCTTATTGTCTTATATTTGTGTACAGCACTTTGAATTGCTTTGTGTTGAAAGGTGCTATATAAATAAACTTGCCTCGCCTTGCCTATGATGACTCACAATCTACTAGGATTAATAAATGTCCAAAGTGTCTATTACGTTAGTAGGAAATCCGACCTAGAGCAATTGAGCATTGGAATAGAACATGTTGTTCCATACGGCCCAATGAGAACAAACACGAGGCAGAATCTAAACAGGAAAGTGTAAAAACATGTTGAATCATTAAACATCTGATAGAACAAGAACAAGACACACCTAGTTTTTGTTTTTCTAAAAACAAAACAATGAGGTAGATACTAGCTGTCATTTTTTTTTAAGGAGGGGCAGCTTGGGCGTATTGTTGTACATAGCCGCAGGAACATGTTTCGAATGGGGTGTGCTGTGGGGATGACACCAGGGCCGGTTCTGACCAATTTGCTGCCCTCGGCAAGATTTTTGCTGGTTCATTTATATCTTATTTTACCAGTTAACATTTATTTATCCATATTTTTTAATCTCTCCAGTTTTAAAGGATATTGTTGGTTTACTGTCCTATAGTATACATTGGAATGATTTCAAACCTGTTTTTATTTATCCTAATAATTATAAAGGTGTGCCTTGGAAATATTTGTTTACATAAATTGCGATAAAACCGTTTGAGACACACTGTGATAACTTAGACTAAAGTGAACTATCTAAACCAGGGCTCTCCAACACGTCGATCGCGAGCTACCGGTAGCTCGCGGGCAGCTTTTCAGTAGCTCGCCGCTCGATTATCGATTATAGCGTAGTAAGGTTGCTTATTGATTTTTCGGCCACGGCTGGACAATAACGTTTTTTTATTTTAGAATTTTTTCTGTCACACGAATATCAAATGGTCGGTGACGCAGAGATCAAGGAACAGACGTGACAGCAGCACAGCGACAACACACACGGAGCAGTCTGCTTTCTCCACCAACACCAGTCCAGAACTAACAGCAGAATGACCCGCTCTGAATCAGGCCCTGTCGCTGCGCTTCAGAGACACACAGGGAGGGATTTGTGTTTTTTTTTTAAAACACTCGTTATCGTCATGTCAGGTTTTTGGTGGATTTAATCAAGTCTTGGATTGCAGAGTATGAATGTCCTCTTGCTATTTTCAGTTGATAAATACTTGTGTAAAGTTTGTGAAGCCAGGAGGAAAGCTTCCGCGATCACCGTCTCCTCTCCGTTCCTCCAAACCCCGCTCCCTCCCTGAAAATAATGAGTGACAGGCTGATAGTGACCCGATAGAAACTTTATTATTCACTTAATCACTGATTGAGATATGATGAAGCTAATTTAACTGAGATTAAGTTAATGTATGAGATTAATAATCTCATACATTCATGGGATTTATGTAACAGTAAGACAGAGAATGTAAGTGTGCACCCACATGCACTATTTTTGTTTTTATAATGCTATTGTAAATAGCCTACTCCCTCCTGCTGTTTTCAGACTCAAGTTATGTGTGTGATGCCACATTCAAGACATTCAGTGTCTTTTTTTTAACAGAAGACCGTAGCTAGAAGCTGCAGCTAGACTGCAGAAGTATTAGTTTTTTTTTGTTTTTGAGGATGGAACCATTTTCACACACAGATATAGGGAGGCTAGACCTATACAATTGATTTATTATGGTTTATAATTTAATGTCAAGACGAAGAAGAAGAAGAAAAAGATGGCTGAACAACTGTTCAGTGTCAATCGTGTGGATATCTCCAAAATAATGTTCAGCTTAAGTCTCAGCAAAACTCACAACATTTCTGGAGCCTTGTAGACCCAGAAAACTATAAGAACATTCACCAAGCAGCACTGAAAATGTCTGCTTTATTTGGTTCTGTTCTACATACCTTTGTGAAGCAGCTTTTTCTGACATGAATGAAATCTAAATACAGAACAAGACCGACTGATGAACATTTAAATGACTCTATTAAGTGAACCTAAGTGGGTCCAGCATACACCTCTATGGTGGACTGCATCCAGTGCCATTCATCTCACTAACAAAAGAGTGAAATGCTTGTAAGGTGGTGATTAAGGACACTTATGTGAATGTTCAGTGATGTACTTATTATGTGGGCCATAATAATATGTGAGAAATCTTCGTTTTCTTGGACCTTATTTTTGATAAGCTTTAGGTATTGCAATTTCACACGTGTACAAAAGTATAGCTTAATTCAACTGATGAGGGCTATGTGAATAAATGTAAGCGATGTGATGCAAGTAGCTCTTGGCCACTTTCATTTTTTGAAAGTAGCTCTCAGATGAAGAAAGGTTGGAGACCCCTGATCTAAACACTCAGAGTCCTTTACCTCACTGAGCCTCTCAGGGCACATGGAAAATGTAACCGGGGTGAAAAGGGTGTTATCTTTACTTAATTATGAATGTGAACATCAAGGCCGAAACATTTTTTTTTTTGTATTATATTTGTATTATATTTCCATTTAATCTTGTGGACGTGCAGATTCCCTGTCCTCCATCAGGGGGTGCTGCAAGCACCCTCAGCACCCCTACTTACCACGGCCCTGTATGAAAAGGTTCAACTACGCACGCACACATGATCTCGGCTCGCGCAGCACGCTCACAGGCATAGATTGTGCAAGAGGTGCAGTGCAGGCATATTGTTATTCAAGAGATGCGTTGTTCTTTTGGAAAACATGTTTTTCTTTTCAATAATACTCATTACATTGACACATGCATTATTTGTGATTAAAATAATGGTTGTTGGTAATGTATTAGCGACCCCCACAGATGTATGATTTCACTGCGTCCGTGGGAGCTCAGACCCCTCCTTATGGGAGCTCAGCTCCCATTGGCTCCCACATAACTCGAACCCTGACTGTATTGTATTATAAAAGGTGCAATAATAATATTGGTATGGGTCGCATTACAATCTATTGTAGCTATTCAAAGAAAATAACTGTATATATTTATGTAAAATAAACCATAACATTGGTATTTATTTAGTCATTAACAGTTATTTGTCAACGGTCCCTAAATGAAACCCCAACGGTTAACCACGACGGTTTGGAATTGGACGGTTTGGAGTGGACTTTGGAGGAGAGCTAACCGTCTTGCTGCTGCTAAAACTGGGTGAAACCGTAAGGAAACACCAGGTGAAACCACTTTAAAACGTAACTTTACCGCCGTGTTTTTTTGAAGAATACGAACGCAGTTACATATTTAAAACAGTCGACATTTAATCTTCGCTGGGGAATTAACTTTCCCTCCGGTAAATTCGTATAATTTATTTCACTTAGGGAGTAGCAAACGGTCCGGGAGCATAGCTAAGCTAACTGCTAACAGACCGTTGGCTGCCATTGACTTAGCTTAACACTTGTTGAGGATTTACATTGTCATGGCGGGATTGGTGTCTTCTTTCAATTCCTTTCCTGTTCTGGGTTGTTAACTAGCAGCCTGATTTAAAGTTAGGAATATAATTAAGAACAACGTTGCTCTAAATGTGTTTGCCCGCCGATGCTGATTTTTGCTACAAGGGATGCTAGCATGCTAACACTACTTGTTGGCTCTGATAACTCATAACCATGGTGATTGCATTTTTAGTAATCAGAGGTGAAAGAAGTACTCCGATATTGTACTTAAGTAAAAGTAGAAGTACTAGAGAGTAGGAATACTTTGTCACAAGTAAAAGTCCTGCATTCAAAATGTTTAAAGTAAAAGTACAAAAGTATTGGCATCAAAATCTACTTAAAGTCCCAAAAGTAAAAGTACTCATTACGCATATTGGCCCATTTCAGAATAATATATATTGTATGTCTTGATTATAGTACTGATCCCTTTGTACACAACATATACATTAATTGAGACACACAAGGAACAAAAGACCATGTAACACCATTATTGACTGTTCTCTAGCCTTTATTTACTTATGAAAAATGAGAAACATATACATAAAAAAAGAAAATAATTACAACAATCAATTTTTTGAGTGAGTAGAACCAGGTGTGATTTCCCCAAAAGGCTCTCATAAAACTATGTTTAATCCTTATACAAACGTTGCATCTGTATTTTAAAGATTTACCTGACCTGGCATTCACTTCTGACAAAATCATTCACTTACGAAAATGCAAATCTAGCAAAGTTAGTATTGTAGTGATCACTGATTGACATAATTCACACATGGAACTACAGGTTGGGGGTATTGTTTCCGCACATATGTGTTGCTGACAGTGGGTGTTTCTCAATCACGAGTAAAGCTGCTTCAGAGCCACTATATCAAGCATACTACGTCATTGAGTGCCGCCGAAGTACTGTTCCAATCTACAGCATACTTGGAAATCTACCGAGCCCAGCGTACTCCGTTTGGAGAAATATCGAGGCTGCACATGAGTAGACTTCGCGGTCTTAAAATCCCCACAATGCTTTGCGCACGGACCAATTTCCCCAAATCTGTGGCGGAAGATGTAAGGCGGGGCCTCTCATATGACGCACACCTGCACACTTGCTAGCGTGTTACACTCTTCGGGTGTTTCTCAATCTCGAGTAAAGCTGCTTCAGAGCCACTATTTCAAGCATACTACGTCATCGAGTGCCGCCGAAGTACTGTTCCAATCTCCAGCATACTTGGAAATCTACCGAGCCCGGCGTACTCCGTTTGGAGAAATATCGAGGCTGCACATGAGTAGACTCCGCGGTCTTAAAATCCCCACAATGCTTTGCGCACGGACCAATTTCCCCAAATCTGTGGCGGAAGATGTAAGGCGGGGCCTCTCATATGACGCACACTTGCTCGCCTGTTCCACTCTTCGTTTTCCGAATGCCAGGAAGTATTCTTGACTCGCTTCTGAAGCAAGATGCTCGGCAGACATGTGCTACCAAGCAAGCATACTCGCGATTGAGAAACACCCTTCGTTTTCCGAATGCCAGGAAGTATTCTTGACTCGCTTCTGAAGCAAGATGCTCGGCAGACATGTGCTACCAAGCAAGCGTACTCGCGATTGAGAAACACCCAATATGTCTATTTCTGTTGCTCATTAAAGTAACCATTTGCACCTTCGATGCACCGCCTCCGACTCCTATCTCTCGGCACTACAGTATACAATTTTATTTTTTTCTAAACTTAGTTGAAGGAAGGCATTTGTAACATGTATATATGCAAGTGACAGATACAGTTAATTAAGCATCGCAACTTTTTAATTATAATTATTTTTAAGCTCCTAATTGAATGTGTTAATTCTGAATCAGGTTCTGTGGCTAATGCTCTTTCATATAGACTAGTTCACTAGTGCACTAAATTACATATAAAAGAAAAAAACCCTCTTTCCCACTAAAATGAGCCACAATGACTGGCCAAGTCCATAGATACAGCATTGAATGCGGTCAAGATATGACATTTATATCAAAGTACTAGGCTTATCTAAATTCCTGCACCAGGGTCCACATAAAATAAAAACTCGTCAGAATGTTTATTAAGAATATATAATAAAAAACAAAGTCTAACCTTTGTCTCTTTATCATTAAGGACATGTTCAAGCACAGTTTGTGCTGGAGAGGTACATCACTCTGGTATGGTATTGCCAACTTCTGTCTTCACTGCGTCCACTAGGAAACTGAGCTCGTTGCACAGCGTCTCGTAGCGGTAGGCCATGCGGATCTGTGCCACATTTGTCCGCCGAATGTCGTTTCCCGCCGGTCCCTCCTCCAGGTAGCTGGAACCAATGAAGTGTTTCTTCTCCTGTAGGGTGAACATGAAGACATATATATATATATTGAGCAGATTTCAAATATGAACATCACACAGCATGTGACTTCAACTGGCTGAAAGTGTAGATGGATTGTTGACAAACTGTTCTACTACTTAATCAGTTTACTACTACTTTAATGATTTTCATCTGTAATAGGGTTACACAGTATTTACACGAGCTATCCGAGGCTGGGATTGTATTAGATAAGAAATGCCTCCCATAAAAAAAACTGGAGATAAAATAATATCTTCAGTGTAAGTTTCACAGTCATTTGTAATTTTTGAGAGCACAATCTCTTAATTTGGATGGGGCCATTTTTGTTTATCACCGACACTAGAAGAAATTGTATTTCCAAAAACAATTGTGGCCATGTATAAACCATGTCATCAATACATAGTTTGTCCACCAGAGAGCACTGATGTGTATATTTCTAAACTGTAAAATGTCTCTCAGCTGATGTCTCCCAGTAATGCCAATGACTCGGTTAAAGGGTTAGGGTTAGGGTTATGACTTTACCTGATGGGAGAGTCCGCTCTGCAGCACACTGTTTCTGGCTATCTCACACAGATCACAGGTGCTCAGCTTCCACAGCTGGGCTGCAATGGCATACTCCTCCATCAAGGCCTCCTGAAAGGGTTAAAAGCAACAATACAAAAATTATTCAATACATTTGTATGATCTGATAATGATAGTCCAAAACCCAAATTGATAGTAAACTCAATGTCTTGGGTTTTGGACTTTTGATCAGACAACTCAAGACATTTAAAGATGGCACCTTGTGACTCTTTGATTTCTTATATGTGCTGTCATTAGAGATATTTGATGGTGAGGGAATTGAATTGTCTTGTCATTGATTCTGTTGCAGTGGTTCTGACCTTAGTGTAGTGGAACTGCATGGGGTCGTCCGTGGACAGCGACACACGCAGGCCTTTCTGTAGGAACTCCCGCAGAGGGTTCTTGGAGTACTCCAGGAACAGGCTGTTGTTGCTCAGCGGGGACATGGCGATCGGGACCTGGGCCAGGTAGTACAGGTACTGCAACACTGGACTCTGGGGAGAAGGGGGGGTGTGGACACCAAAGTAATGTTAGTAATGCTTAATATCTATTTGTTGAAGTTAGTGTAGGACAATTCTAAGGTTAAAGAAATATCAGATACAGATAAATAGGGTTGCAAATGGTTGGTGTCACATTTAAATCCTACATTTCAGTTTAACCCTGAACATATTTAAGTCATCATAGATATTTAAAGCATGCCTGTTAAGGAGTTTTAAGATATGATCATGAATATAATTAATGTTCCCCTTAATTCCAATGACAAGTTTACAGTGTAGAATGTCTAAATAGAAAAGGTCTTTCACAGAAACATAGATCACACATGTCTATAAAATAATTTTGAACTATTATCGAGCTCAGACTATAGTGAGCTTTGCCTTTCTCAATATTGATTCAAAGCATTTCAAGCTGAGGTATTTTGTCCTGTGGAGCAATAGGTGTTTGTATTTTTTACATCTTTCTGTTATTATTTATTGGCTTGCAAATGCAACCTTTGAGAAATACCAAATCTTGCTTCGGAGTGGGACTGTAAAATTGTATTTAAAAAAAGGCGACCCTTGTGGGTTAGCACTCCACTAATTAGTATCAGTGTTGCTGGCAGTTTTGACATAGAGATGATAGTGGTCATATTCAAATCCAATGTTATTTATCAGCATAAAAAACAATTATCCAACTCTCTAATGAATTCAGGACTTCACCTTCTTGAGGTTGAGTCCATGGGAGATGTTGTCAGCCGTCAGGAAGGCGGACACCAGGTGGGTGATGGAGCCGGCCTCGCCACAATGGGGACGAAACTGGAAGGTGTTCAGACCTCGCTCCCTGAGGAGGCAAAATATAATGATGTCATGTCCTACCTGCAGTTAACTCATACCATTTCATGCGGTGTACCAAGTTATTTCCTCCATGTGCATATGTGAAAACTCTTTGTGCAACAATTCCTTAACTTTTGGGCTCTATGGACTAAGGAGATGTTGTTTATTTGAAATATATCTATACAAAAATGTATGAAATATACTGAATGGAATATGTGTGTGACACAAAAAGGCAATTTATGAATTTGGCCATTAAAAAATGTGCTTGGCTGGTGAACGCAGGACTTACTTGCGCAGGTTGTTGAGCACCATGATGTTGGCGTACATGTAGAACAGGTAGTAGGTATATGGAGGGTTATCGTCTGTGGTCCACGCCTCAGGTTTTGGGCTTTTGTAAGAGAACATGTGGTCGCTGTGTTTTGATTCGTCATCCACACTGTCGAATCCTGTCACCTATAGGATAACGAATAAAATGTCACAATTTATTTTACACAACCTTGCGTGTGTCTTCATCAGTTTTGTCTTTAACTGTTTGTGCAGAAGTCTAACTTAACATCACTCAATAATCTTGGCAAAACCACTTGATATTTTTGTGTCACCGATTCCACCCATCATATATGTACTTACGTATTTGAGGAATACGTGTATCTCCTTGTGCTTTTGTGGATTGACTGTAGCCTCAAACAGTGGGAGGAAAACGTTCTCCAGCATCTTTGCAAAGTTCGGAAGTATTTTCTTTGACTTGAAGATGTCACTGCAAGACAAAAGGCACCAAATACACTCACATTTAAACAAAACAAACATTATAATTGATGTTATTATTCCAAAATAAATAAATTTAAACTATAAAAGTAATGATTATATCTAACGTTTTCTCTTTGCACTTACTAAATCCTGGGAACTTGAATCATCCATCTCATGTTGGGCGAGTGCAGCTTGTGCTGGATGAACCAAGTTGCCAGGCCCTCCCACTCGCTGGCTGAGCGCCCGTAGATGGACAGACGGGGCTCGGCATGCTGGTACTTGCTCTCTTCCAGCTCTTTGGACACTTCCTGAAACAGTTGTTATGGGAAATTGTATCATACTAAGGGAGCATTTCAAGTTAGAGCTATTTAGTGTTGTAAGGTTAATGGTCTTGTCCTTTTGTGGAGTGTAGACATGATGTTTCTCCATTTGCTAGAAGATGTGTTTGAAAGAATCCTATATATACTGTAGTATGTATCTTTTCTGTTTGTCATAGCCCCTCCCCTTCCATTCTTGGTGTGAAAATGTGGGTATAAGACCCTCTGCAGACCTTCTGACTTTTGTACTTCGCTGCAGACTGCTTGACACTCTGTAACGATTTACCTTCTTGCAAGAATAAACTCCCTAAAAGACTGTCTTATTCCAAGAATCTTCATTTCAGTGAAAGGTTTCCTCACCATTTTATATTATTTTCTGGTTTGTCTCAGTAAGTTTCCACCACAAAGTCTAGTGATGTTCCTTTTATAAAGCAGAAGTAACGTTTGTCAATTGTTCACTGAACAGATAACTATTTCCAAATACCAACATACTTAATGCTTTAAAGGTGGGGTAGGTAATTCACTTCAGAAACACTTTTTGTTATATTCCATGGAATGCTCTTAACATCCCGATAGCAATGAATACATTAAATGCTTTGAGAATAAATACATGAAAGAATGTCATCTGTGGAAGCCGTGGCGCTGTAAAAAGCACGACCAATCATCTGAGCCGGCCCGGCTAAAATAACTGGATGGCCTACCTGCCTGTCAGCCTTCCATCTGTGCACAAACTTATCTCGTGCCCTCATTGGTCATGTGCGCGTTCGTGTGTGTTGGAGGAGGGGCTCTGTAACAGATTTTTTTCGGCTGCGTACTTTCAAATTCTAGCTTGCTCGAGCTGGTTTCTCCATTCTTACCTACCTTACCTTTTAAACAAGGAACACTACAGACATGAGGGCAGGGCATCTACAACTTAACCCTAACCAATTATGATAGATGGTTCAGGTCTTTACAAAATATACCAAGATAAAACAGTTTACATAAAGATGTTTAAAGGAAAAATGTAACATGATATAAAAGAGAGAGAAGCAGGAAATCTTCAAATTTTGACGGGCCGAAAAAATTGGCCAATTTGATCAACAAATCCCCTAAAATAAATGTCTTCACCATTTGACCTGTTGCTTTTTCCAACTCTTGGTTAATTCAGCCAACTTTTTGAGAACAAGTCAGATAATTATTCAGGGCCTCAAAGTGATAATAAAACTCATACTGCACCTTGATGATTCGTGCAAAGTATTCTCCTTTGATGTGGTTGTCTGATTTCAAGTAGATCTCTCGCAGTTCGCTGGCGCCCACGGGGTTGTACTTGGAGTTGAACTTGTCAAACCGATGAAATGTTTGCCTTCCCTAGGAGGGTCATTCGTGAGAGAGGGTGAATCTTTTGATAACATTTTCATTCCAACAAAATGACTGTTTATTATTTTCAGATTACGTATTAAAAAGATCTTGCATGGAACATAAAAAAGATTGCATCACACCATATGAAATGCTTGAACACGCATAATTGCATCCTTCTGTAGTCATTTTAAAACCACACATTTGTTATTGGCAGACTCATGGAGTTATTAAGCGATACCTGCCCTATTTACCTCAAGAACGTTGTTTTTTTAGAACAATTATCTGGCAAAACCGATGTCTGACGGCATTGCAGAAATGTTACTGAACTTGTTTCAATTTTTAAGAACTTTTGACAGCAATGACTTTGTTCTTACAGCGTGCACGTCCAGAGAGTCCACGGTGAGGTCGTACGGGTCCATGTTGAGTTTGTTGAAGACTTCCTTGTGTGTGATCTTCTGACCATCCTTCTCCAGGACCACGCGATCTGTCTCTTCCTGGTATGTGGTCTTTATAAATTTCAGCAGATGCTTCTGGTTCATGCAAGCAGCCGCGTGTATGTGTGTGTCCACCTGTGTTTTGAGATGAAGCAAACAGTTAGGATGTGCATGACTTTATTGGACAAGTAACAGTGGATCTTTAAATGTATGTTTTTTTTAGACCAAGAGCTCTAAAGATAACTTTCACAGTCGAAGCTCAGAGTGACTCAATGTTGACCGGATGATTTGCATTACATCATTTTGATACAATGATTTTCGTAAGTTGCTAGTTTAATGTATAATGAACTAGATGGAAAATACCAACCAACCTTTCTGACGTTGTAGAAGTCTCGATGTGGGACACATTTCAGCTCTTTTAGCTCTGCCATTTCATTCATCATTTCATGAAGATAGAATTTAGATGCCAGGAAGTTCAACCGTCTGTGACAGTACGTTTTCCTGTGAGGGGGCAAAAGATTTCAGGTAGGAACATTTGAAATTACTCATTACTCAGTGAATCTACTTTCCCCCCTGCAGACCGATGCTCTGCTGCATGCACCGTTCAGGAAGGGAAAACTATGCACAGTAGTTTATGAAATATCAGTTAAAAGCTATGTCCTTTTGCCCTATTGTCGTTATGTATATTTAAAACATTTGTGTACTTACGTTGGGCCGTCAGCTATCATTGCGAGGACATGGCTCAGGTCTATAGCAAAGGTCTCGAGGTCGGGGTAAGGGAGGCTGTGAGGCTGCTGTTGTTTCAGGGCCTCAGCATTGTCGTAAACATGAACTATGCCATCCTTCATCTGCAGCTCGTAGTTCAGGTTCTCAGGAATACCCTCCATGGAGTATGGGTCCTCTCCTTCATGAGGGAACGGCCAGATGTCTAAACACAATGAGAGGAAATAAAAACGGAAAATAATGAATATGCTTTGCAGTAGGAGTTATATACAGTTGTTAACAGTACCAACACATCTTGAAGAATACCATATAGATAATAGACTCAATGTATCTCATCATGGTTATAGGTGTATCAGAACTAATATTTTACCATTGATGCAATTGTTCAAAGACAAAATAACAGTCATTATGTCTCACACACATTCATTAGGTATTGCACAAGTGCAGCTGTTGGAAAATCAATTTTTAGATAATAGTATGTGACTCATGCTCTTCAAACAACCAAAGTACAGATGTATAAATGCTAAAAAGAAAGTCACAGTTACTGTCATGCTTGTGATATCATAGGCTAATTTATTCTCTTAAAGCATTCTCCAAAGCTTTGTTGTTTATACTGTAAGGACCCACATTTGTGAGATATTCATTAGTTGTTCTTTACATTTTTGCCATTGATGAAAGAAAACGTTTCTGAGATCACCTGCTAGATTAAAGCAGTGAGTATCTGCTGAAAAGTGTATCCAATTGTTTATGCTAACTTAAACTATCTTGTCATCTATTTAGTCCCAACATAGTACACTTTATGTGCCTCATCTCTTTACTTGTCATATGGTTAGAGCGTATAGTAAACAAATAAATTATTAGTACTGCACATTATATAGTCATGTTCCCAGTACATATAAGTCATATACATTTATTGTCTGTGTTGGAGAAGCCTCCTGAAGCATGTCCCCTATCTGTTGTCAGGAATACTTCCACTGACCTTGGCTCACACACACTTCTTCACACTTACTTAAAATAGACGTTTAGAATAGTTAGACTCATCCTTAACATGCGATAAGCAGTTAAATGTTAACAACATAGCGTTTAACCCTTGACATTATCATAGTTGTTCCAACACTTTATTTCTTATTATTATATCATTGGCATTGTAATGAATCAGGTGTTATATTAGTCCCTGCTTGTTTCTGAATTGTGTTGCTAACATTGGACGTGAGAGTGCCCTTGTCTTTGTCAGCTAATTGTAGCTCACTGACAGCAAAGCCAATAAGTCATCCTTTTCATCACAGTTTTTCCTTATTTAACTCAGTAAGTATTCGCCATGTTTGTCCCTTACCAAAAATTAGAGTGTAATGTTAGACGCCCCTTAGAGTTGCAAAGTTTTTCAGATTTTATATTCCCTTTTTTTTAAATCTTAAAGTGCACCTATCATGCTATTTTTAGGCAATAGCATAGGTCTCAGATATATACAAATATATTCAAAAACATGTCTATGAAGTGTTTTGCTCAAAATACCAAACAGATCACCCATTCTAGCCATGCCTCATATCCCTCTATTTCACTTCCTGTTTCAAAAGTGCTGATTTTGGGTATAAAGCTTTAAAAAAAGAAAATAAATTGATTAAAATAGAAAAGGAGGGGGCTGAGCTCATGCGGGACCCGGCAGCTACTGTCTAAACTAAATACTGCGGTGATGAAACGCCATATTATGGATTATCAAGGATTATTTCTGAAACAGTATGGAGCTCAAAGGCTTTCTCTCTTGCCGGTTATACCACAAGGTGAGTTCCTTTTTATTTCCTGCTTCTTCACACACATGCTCTCCAGTACAGGTTAGCTCTGAGTGTTAGCGATGCTAATGTAAACACCGACCATATTACGTCCAAAACAGTCGGGCATTGTTTCTGATAGCAACGTTTCTGATAGGGCCGTGGGTGTAAAGCCAGCCCACATTTCCGATATTACGTCATATCGGACGCAAATCTGGATCAGCTCCGTTGTAGCCCCGTTTTTAGAGATTTGGGTACGGAGGAAAAGAGAGGGTTTTATTTTCTGACGCTGCGTGAGTTCCCCGACACACCGGGGACACATATTTATGTATAAAAGACATCAAAAAATGCATTTTGCATGATAGGTCCCCTTTAACACAATATCCTAAATGTTGTTTAACATAGAAACACAGTTCTCTCTTGGGTGATGTATAGGATTATGTTATGACATCCCGTTTTCATTGTTTTTTTAATAGTAAAATACCAAAAATATACACTTTCAATCAAAAAGTATGATATGGAATTAGATATTTCCAAATAGGAAAAGAGTTGGGGACCCCCTACCTGGCATGACCTCATCCTCCTCTCGCCACTCTTCATTATCGGCATTGCGGAGGAATCGTGCAGCGGTCCTGGGGAAGTGATGGTATGCCAGTCTGCAGTATTTCTCTCTGATGAACAGCGCTCCGAGGATACTTTGGGCTGCCTGCTCATAATCCTCAACTGTGATCTGGAGGGGGCAAAAGTTCATCTTTAGATTTGTTGAAAAATGTAAAAAAAAAAAAAAAGGATAAATGCTTAAAACATGGGTAAGAAGATGGCCATTCCCCTGACACCCCTTAAGCCAAACCTTTTTCATATATTTATCTAGAACACTTCCTGGTGTTAAATGACCAACCATCCTTACAATAGGTACAGACTTAAATTAGTTTTTGAGTGCCTATTTGTTTTTGCTTTCTTTGTCAGCTCTTTTGAAATGCTGTTAATCCTCTTTGAGTGCTGGAGATGTCTGAATCTACAGTTACAGGTTCGTATTATTTGTAGTCAATGCGTGTCCACATGCTGGAGTGTTAGTCCTGTTTACCCCTGCACAGTAGTCTCCACTGATGGTTACTCTCTGGAAGTCTGGAAAGTTCTCTGGAGGAAAAGGTTCAGGTGTGGTTGGGGCGATCAATGGGGAACGAGGAAAGGCCTGAACACCACCAACAGTCGACTGTGAACGCTTCAACATGAAACTCTTCATCCTAGTCACACACATGAAAGGACAAGAATAACTCAAATTAAAACTGCAAAACAATAATAATTGTTTTCGATGTTAGGACGTATAGGATGTGCAGAAAGAGAGGTGTTTTCAATCAAACCCACTTCTTAGCACACTCTTCAGAAAACTGTGCAGCCAGCTCCCTCTCCAGCGTCCTCTGCCTGTCCTCATGCAGACCGATGGGACAGTCCTCCTGCACGTTGAACAGTGACAGAGCTTCCTTGTTGTCTTCCTCCTTCAGAGCAGAGGCGTACACCTGCTCTGCTCGCAGACGTACTTTCTCATCCACCTCGCTCATCGACATTTTTTGGAAAAGCCTAGGCATATCTGAGAAAGTCAAGAAAGATTGAAGTTTTGGTCAATGTTTTTTTGTCCTAAATGTTGTACTTAATAAAAGGAAATCTGCAAAGTTAAACACATTTTAGTCCACATTGCAATATAGTATATGGTGGTTTATAATTGTGAATAATAGGTAATTATTTCTCATTGCAAGGGTACTGAAAGATTTAGTATACTGTTTGCTTATATTCAAATGACATTCAGTTCAGATGAAGGAATATGTTTTTTTAATCTGAGCATATTGCTAGCATGTTGTATATGATATCCCAGGAGAAATAATATTATGTTAGTGGTTGCAATACATTCAAATAGAAACAAGGTAAACAGGAGACCTGTGAAAATGAGTTTGAGGTAGGGGTTGTCGGGGGTTTAGGTGAGGAACTTGGCAGGTTTCCCAATTCCACCTCATAACTCACGAGTAAACATGTCTTGAGTGACAACGTGTTCTGCCAACGTGTCGGGCAAGTTACAGTAAACACATCGTCACTGTCAGAGCTGTCCTAGACTGGCAGTGACCCCTCCACCCCCGGGGTCACCTTTTCTGACATTACGCAGCACAGTGAAAAGGATGAAACATGACCATATCATCACAGTTTTTAGTTTGTATGACGCATACGTAGTACAACGGTTTTTAGCATTGCATTATCCTGTCGTTCAGATGGTATGAATTTGTCTTTTATGTCAATTAATGACTGCTATTTTGTTAAGCATGATTTTTTTAGAAGATTATTAACAGTTGAGTATCCTGATAATACAGCTTTTACTTTAAATGGTAACAAATGTTTGACCCTTTGTTAGAAAAGCAATTCTTTGCATACCATATTTTCAGTTCCCTTGACCTTTTGGTTTGAGCTGAGCCTCAGTCATACCAATGGCAGGAACTAGGGTCCTATTTTTATCCGTGAGACCCTGTGAATTCATACTGTATTTTGATCAGTACAAGAAAGTTCTTTTTTAAATAGCTTTGCCTGCTTGCTTTATCCCTGCGTTGTGAGAAATATGGTTCCCATCCAACATCCCGTCAGTAGCGGAGATGTTTGGCTATACTGATCACCATTTCATCACTGTTACTAAAAGTATACATGTCGTAGTCAGTTGGTCACTTTGCCAGTTCCAGCATCTATCCTCACTGTGAAAGTATTTAAATCAACAAGCACAAGACAAGATGTGCTGTTGTATCAAATAGCAAACGTCTCTTCTGCAGACTCACCATCCTGGGTGGTTTACATGCAAACATATCAGTCAACTGTATTGCTCTCACATCGTCACAATTTCTCTTGCCTGTTCTTTGGTTATCCAATTTCAGAAACCGGCATTCTTCACGTGCCTCTCAGCGTGTCAACACTCTCCATACTGGAACAGCTGAGATGCCTCTTGGATGACCTTGACTTACCCCCCCCCCCCCCCCCCCCCCCCATTATGGAAACCTGAGCCACAAAGGGCCGTCTGCGTATGTCGGCAGGGTTTTTTAGCAAACGTTATGACATTTCAATTAATATGCTGATCAGTACTTTTTGCGTAGCTTTTAATATCACACAAATGCTTACATTAATATAATTCATCAGTAACATCCTTTGTTGAAAGATGGTATACTACTTTCCCATAGAAAGTGGATTCTCCATTGAATCTCAGACCGTGAGAGTGGACCTCCTATCAACCAGTCATTCTCAACACATTTCATCTTATTGTCGCTACAAAGCTCTATAGCGTAGGAAGCTCTCTCTTTCTCTTACCTTCTGCTGTGAGTTTGGCCATGTTTGGCTCTCTCAGTCTGTGTCTGTTGAGTCAAGTATTTCAGCTTTCATGTGTTTCTTCTAGACTCCCTAGCTCTTAGTTTTGGCTCCACTATTTATCTTTATTTGCCACTTGTGTCCCAGGGAAAACTTTAAAGTGTTGCTGGAAACCTCTTGACACTGTCCAGACTGTCCTCAGGTCTGGTATCTGTGTCTCTCTTTAATATACGATGCTTCTCTCCTGGGTTTTCACTTCTCCTGCCTCTGTCAGGCTTTGCTCTGCTGTTTATCTGGTCCAGTGTCTGTATGTATAATGCAGCTGCTAGTTGTTGCTGTCAGGATAGTCCCTCCCTGTCTCTATTTTAGGGTTTTGAAAGCGTCATGGCAACAGGGGCAGATAATCCAAGCTGGTATGCCACACCTGGTCCTTACATGTGAGCAGAGATGGGGCATTAAAGAGGCAATACACACTTTAGCTCAGAGGGAATATTAAAGCCCTGGGAAAGTACATTTGAACATTATAATTGTTACTAGATGACTGATTTTAATCATAGTTTTATCCACTGACCGTGCATTTAAGTATCACAAAGGCCATTTATGAAATGTAAACAGTTTTTGTTAAAGCCATTATCTACCAAAAGCAAACATCCCAGCTGTTCTTCCTGGTTGAGCTAGCATATATGGGTGTAAGCTGCTGCTGTCAATGTGTTAACAGCAGAAAGTCATGTAAACACATTTATTTTGACAAGAAATGTAACTCCCATAATTTGACAAGGGATAGAACACCACAATGAATGCCATATACAGTTAATGCTGCTTCATAGTTAGCTATTCACAATATTGTGTATTACTGTCAACAGTTTCAGTATTAGGTATTAGTATTGTGTAGAAGGATAGAGGTAGACTTTGATTTACCACTGCTGTCAACAGATACATGCATTACATGTTGTTAGACGCTTTTATCCAAAGCGACTTACATACTCAATACTGTGGGCAATCCCCACAGGAGCAATTTGGGGTGAAGTGTCTTGCCCAGGGACACAACGACATGCTGACTGCAGTGGGGTTTGAACCTGTGCTCCCCTGATCCGAACACCAGCGCACTAATCCACTGCGCCACACACCTCCCTGCTACATGCTGTAGTCTGTCAGATGGTGCATGTTTTAATATGTGGAAATTAGATTTGAGTTACTTCAGTGAGCCTGCTGTTTGTTAGTTGTTTCTTCATGTGTCTGTGTATAGTAAGTATTTACTCACCTTTCCCAAAGCAGGGTGTAGACTGCTGCTTAACCATGGGCGTGTCCCTTTTGCTCATTTTGATCTGGATTAAGAAGAACAAAAGCTTTAATTAACATTAGACTAACCCATCATTCAGTGATGGATTAACTGGTTTGGGAGGGGTTTTTCATGTGAAACAGCTCAAAGAAATGTAATGCATACGTTGCTCCATAATAGTACAGTATTTTACCTTGCATTTAAAAAAACGTGTTATATTCAATTTATTTATCCCTGTCTATTATTTTCTCTTGTATTTGTTTTTTATGATTTTTCGAGTTTTAAGCTATAAGCCTAAACTGTTCTTTGTCGTCGGTGGTGGAAGCAAAGTCATAGGGGCCCACTTACTACTTACTAACCGTAAGTGGGTCAGAGGACGATCATAACACTGCTGGTTCAAAAACCCTTTTTTTCTTATCCCAGTTGTTATTGCACCTTTTCATAGAGCAAGCTGGCTACCTGTGGTTAAACCTGCACTGCCTTCCTCTTTAAGCGGTTAGTTATTACAAAAACACTGTCAACATGCTTTTGCTACCCCAGCAACAACATCGCAAATGATAAAGTGATCCCATGTTTGGAGTCTGCATGGTGACTTTATGGCCTGAAAACACATTTAAACGTAATATAACAGATTTTTAAAGTGCAATGGATCATAAAGCTGGCACTGAGCAAAGTGATTTGTCTTCAGATCTAAAGCAGAAGTAAGATTTCCAAATGGCGCAATATTTAAGTTCACTAGTTCAGGCAATGTAATCGCACTTCCTTTCAGTTGGTCAAAACATTTCGTTCATAGTTCATTTTTTTATTGTTTTGCTTTTTGCAATAGAGGGGTCCTTTCAACTCTATTTCTGTAAAGCTTAAACATAATACTGGATAGTCAATTCTGAAAAAATTGAAGTCAAGACGATTTTTCTTAATTCTTTCTAATTCTTTTTGGAAGTATGCATATGGCCAAGATTGATATGAGCTGTAGTTTTTGAATGCTCATAACATTTTGGAAGTACACAAAAAGAAGCCATCAATGAAACAAGACATTGTCTATCTGAGTATAGTGGTATGATGTCAGCTTCAAAAAGGGGTTAAATTCAGACTAAAGTTAGAAATTCTAACTACTAACTCAAACTAAGATACCTTTGAACCTACGCAAAGTTACTGCAAAGTTAGTGCAACACATCCAAGTTGGTTGAGCTCTATAAGACTGGTCCACTAGTACTACTACTAAACCACACTGGTGAATTTAAGTTGTCTGATCTAGAATTCAACCTTAGAGAGAGAGAAAGAAGTAGAAGAAAAAAAGAACACGGCTGGCAGTCGGTTGAGAAAGTTTCCGATCAGATGCTCTGGTGGTTCTGGAATTTCCTGTTTCTTTTTTTTCATTTGTTCAGTCAAAGAGCTTTTATAAACACACATTACAACATTGAACCACAACACTGAGTCACACCTTTGTATGCACAGGTTTGTTTCTATTTAGGTATTTGAATGTTCCTAGAATGTATGTTAAACCAGCTAATGTGGCAGCTGAGGTAATAGGAAGCTAGTATTCCCTTATAAGGAAGTTTGAAATTCTAAGCCTTGAAATGAGTCATTTCTGACCACAGGATGATACAAACATGACAAGTAAACACGAAAATAGAGCCACAGTATTTTCAAAAGTTCTGTGTTTGCAAGGTGAGGCGAACTAGCAAAACCAGTCACCCTTTCATTTCTTTTTAACGGCACGTTGAGGCTTGAGGCATTACTTGGGAAATACAGAGTTGTGTCCTGATCTTGGAATGCTTGCTGCAGTGTGGCATTTCAGTCATACACTATATATTATAAACTGGTTTGAACTGTTCAGCTTACTGCATTGCTATTATGCTGCCAGTATTGTCAAAGAGATACGAGAGAATGCTATTGTAGGTGCTTCCCTATTTACATTACATGTCAGTACTGTGGACAATCCCCACAGGAGCAATTTGAAGTGTCTTGCCCAGGGACACAACGACATGCTGACTGCAGTGGGATTCGAACTTGCTATCCCCTGATTCGAAGTCCATCATACTATTAACTGAGCCACAGCCTCCTACAATTTATTCAGTTGTTATTTACATTTTGCACATTCACGATGACTGTGCATTTTTAGAAAGTGTGGTCACCAAGATTACAGAAATTGTACTTTTGCAATATTTGTGGTCAAACATTATTGTAACATTATTACAAAAAGCGTATTGTTATCTAAACTTTGCTGTGGACAGTTGCAGTTGTAGTGGGATATTAAGTTTCACTTTAATGAGGTTAAAATGTTGTTTAGTGCACTCTCATTTTACTGTCCTCTGATGCATATAAAGACATTTTTAGCCATGCTACCGATGAAATATATCTCTCTGGTTTGGTTGGTCCACCACTTTAGTCCAGACTTTATTATCTCAACAATTGGATGATTTGCCAAATAACTTGGTACTGACATTCATGGTTCTTTGAAGTCCTCATAACTTTGATGATCCTCTGACCTCGAATGCAACAATGAAGTATGCATTTTACATTTTAAGTAGTTTTCAAACTATTTTAGTACACACATTCATGTCCCGCTCAGGATACATTTGTTTATCTAAAAGTAAAACCCCAATATGTGGATTTATGACTGGTTTATGACCAAACAGTTCGTCACTTTATGGCACCAATTCCCCTCATCCTTGGCTGTGTTTAGTTCTAATCATGTTAAAGTCGGTTTGAACAGACTTTGCTGCCGCGTACGTTAAATTAATGTAATGTAGTATTATCTGGTTTTCCTCATATTGCTGTGTGTAAGAACAAATACAAGAGATGGTCAAGTTCAATAATGATTCATAAATATCGATCATATATTATTTAAAGGTAGGGTAGGTAGGAATGGAGAAACCAGCTCGAGTGCGCTAGAATTTGAAAGTAGGCAGCCGAAAAAAATCTGCCCCTTCCTTCAGACTTCCTTACAGAGCCCCTCCTCCAACACACACGAACGCGCACATGACCAATGAGGGCACGAGATAAGTTTGTGCACAGATGGAAGGCTGACAGGCAGGTAGGCCATCCAGTTATTTTAGCCGGGCCGGCTCAGATGATTGGTCGTGCTTTTTACAGCGCCACGGCTTCCACAGAGGACATTTTTTTATATAAATATATTGTCAAAGCATTTAATGTATTCATTGCTATCGGGATGTTAAGAGCAATATAACAAAAAGTGTTTCTGAAGTGAATTACATACCCCACCTTTAAGTAAAGGACTTTTTTATAGTTCTTTAAAAATACACTTATGCACCTTCTAAACAACAAAAAAGACAAATATTTCAAAACAAGCAGGCATTAGTAGAAAATAGTCGAAAGATGGTTTTAAATAGTATTACACTAAGTAAATGAGTATATGCATTTTCCTCTGATGCTCATGCTAGGATAGCTTAATGTAAATCAAGATTAATATTTTTTAACTGTTTCTCCAGCTGTAAGCAAATGACTCACTGTTGTACGCCCATTTGAATAAACATGAATGTTGGCCCTCTAATGAGACCTGGCTACTCTCTGGAATGTGCGGAAACAAGAGCAAAGGCCAGAACATGCTGTACAGACTTACAGAGGAAGAGCTGAGGCTAAGACATGTAAACAATTGTTTGACCGTTCATTACATTACAACTAAAACTCAGTTATAAAGGGAAATAACTTAAAATATTCCTATTCGTCTATTCTTATGCCTCCCTAGATGCTTACTTATCTGGAACAAAATATGTAGGAGTAAAAACCATCAAACCCTAGAGTCAAGTATTTCACCAACAGATACCACCATACACAGTTAAGCAAGGGTTAGGGAAAGTGATTTAAATTACAAGATGTGACTGTAGATACAAGAGCAACAGAAAGAGAAGTACAAAACTCAGGTGCAAAGAATAGTTGTGCTGGCAGCTTACTTACTGTTTGCAGGGCTGTAAAGAACAACTCTTGTGACTGTAGAGAGCCTTTTCAGGAATCACCAGACAGAAGGCAAGTCTTTGCAATGAAGCCTCTTCTTGCCTGCAGACAAACAGGGTGTTTCCTCTTTCACTGCCAGTCTGAACAAGTGTACTCTGTGCACATTTTTAAAAGCTTGAAGTTCCAGCGTTGAAATGAGTTTCAGGAAGTGATCTGTGTCTTTGTTGCTCACTGTAGTAGAGGAAGTGCTGAAGGAAGCTTGTATTTGCACCAGTACTTGTGCTCCTTTTTTCAAGTGCATGGAAACTATTCATAGACCACACCCATCTTTGTTTAACCAGGAAGTATCTGCAGCTCATTGTGCAGGAAAGGTCTCTGATTGCACAAAAGAATGTGCATAAAGCACCTGTGGCAGTCAGATAAAAGTTAGAACTAAATAGTGTGCTTTCTTTCTCAATTTAAGGCTACATTTTTTCAGAAGTTAATGTTGACATCCACAGGAAAGGAAGTCAAATTAATTCAAGTTCGCCTTGATCTGGCCTTGTGACACATGTCAGGGTCAGAATCACCCGACTGGATCTCCTGGACAAGAGTGTTCGATGTTGAAAGACCCAAAACACTCAATAATGCTTAGTTACATCACTGAGATCCAGATCTACTCGTCTTGTTACCTTACCTTATCAATATTATACAGAAGTGTTAAGAAGGTAGATAAGAAGGTACGCCTATAATATGATGAAATTGATCTTGATATTTTTCATGCCAACATGAGAGACCATACTTTTCTGTTACATATTACATGTACATTAAATGTATTATATTTCCTGTCAAAACATATTTAAAGATACACCCTGAGGAACTGCAAACGACATATTTAGAATTGTTTTTAAATGTCATAGACTAAATGATGAATGTAGAAAATAATTTGCAGATTATTGCTAAAAATAATGTAACTTGCAGCCTAACTAAACCTTTACTGTTGTACTTTTGCTAACCGTAACACTTATCTAGAGATATGTAGTAGGGCAAATGCTTCATTTTAAAAGAGGAAAAATGGTACCTGGAATGGCTTTACTAAAATTAGTTTTTACAAAGTTACTGTCAATTTTACAAAAAGCAAATAAAAATCAGTGGTACACATTTGTCTTTGGTTTACCAGTAGTATTCTAATCATGGCAGAGGTGGTTACTGTGTGGTGGAGTAAAGCTTACAACACCACCTTCTGGATAGAAAATGAAAATCATCCATCAGTAAAGTCCCTCTCATGGCCTCCCTCATGGCTGGATCTAAATGTGTATTCTGTGTATTGTAGTGTAGTTGTATCCTTTTTTTAATTTATGATATGTCTTTTTAACATTCAGCATGTGGAAACGCACCCTTAATACCAGATTAGTGTTTTATAATGACTAATAAAGAGACAATATACTGCTAATATGCATGTTAATTAACAACTAGTTGATGGTCAATTTGTGTAGGTGGGGTAGGTAAGTTTGAGAAACCGGCTTGAGATACACTTTTTGTTATATTCCATGGAATGCTCTTAACATCCCGATAGCAATGAATATCTTAAGTGCTTTGACAAAAAATCCATAAAAAAAATTCATCTGTGGAAGCCGTAATACTGTAAAAAGCACGACCAATCATCTTAGCCGGCCCGGCTAAAATAACTGGATGGCCTACCTGCCTGTCAGCCTTCCATCTGTGCACAAACTTATCTCGTGCCCTCATTGGTCATGTGCGCGTTCGTGTGTGTTGGAGGAGGGGCTCTGTAAGGAAGTGGCAGATTTTTTCCCGTTGTGTATTTTCAAATTCTAGCGCACTCGAGCTGGTTTCTCCAAAATTACCTACCTCACCTTTAATATAAAGTGTTACCGAATATTGCTTTAGATTTGATTTCCCCTATTATTTCGAGAAACTTTTACAATTCTCTGTATTGTGTTTCTTATTTATTCTAACAATATAATAGGATAGGATTTTTGTTGTTATTGATGAATTCAGTGTTTTCTTCTTCCTATTGTTTGGACACTATTTTATTTACTGTACCTTATAAGCCAATGGTATATATATTTGTAAAGCTGTCTTAAATCCCTTAAAGGTCCCATGTCATGCTTTTCCGGTTATTACCCGTCCCCTTGTGTGTTATGTAGCTTTTTATGCATGTAAACGGTCTGCAAAGTCACAAACCCTCAAAGTACACAATGTAGCGAATAAAACTCTAACACAGAAAAGACCTGTCTATGCTGCCCCAGAACGCCTCGTTGGACATTTCTCTTTTTCCATTTTTTTCTTCCTGAGTATGGTGACGTGACCATACCCAGGTCCAAATGGACCAATCCGCAGAGCTCCTCACACACACACACACTCACTCAGCCTTATCTTTTCTCAGCCGATGTACTCCGCGGAGTTTCGCCGGCACACACACTCACTCAGCCTTATCTTTTCTCAGCCTCCACTCCACTGATCTCCACTCACAGTTCGCCACGTACAGCCACACACAGCCAGGCTGAGTTCCGCGGTGTCTCGCTGTCTCGCAGACCCCACGCAGCAACCAGGAAACTACACCAGTAATACAGCTCACACTTGTAATGTTGTGACATACTCTTTGGTCCGGAGTTGTGAATACCCGGAATATTATATGAATGACACCAGTTATGATGTAGTACAGAGCGCGAATAAAGCACAGTTAACGATACTCGCTGTCTCCTGAGTTGTCTATAACAAAGCAAGATACACATGCAAAAGGACAACACTATAACACTGTCCGCTGCTCGAGCCTCAAAGGGCGGAGCAGCGAGCCCCGCAACGTCCGCCAACACGGCACCCAGACCCCATTCTCATCAGTTTTTCCTTACTGGTGTCATTTTCTGGTTGCTAACAAATGCCATTGTAACACATAAACACACATCAGAGCGCAGTGGGCTCATAGGGAGGAGGGGGGAGGAGGGGGGGGCAGGAGCTCCAACAAGCTGTTTAGGACAGAGAGTGAATACACATACTATACAGAGATGCTGTATGAGAAAACCAATGTGATTTTGGAAAATTGAACAATGTAAATCTATTCCAGTAGACCTCAACAATGGAATTATGATCAGTAGAAATGGCCATGACATGGGACCTTTAAAACCCCTGAAAAAGGATTTGCGACCTCCCCTTTAAGCTTTGTTGACCCCCTGTGGTCTAGTTGACCCAAAGAGAGCTGCATTCAAGTTGCTTTTTTACAATAAAAAAGGGAAATTATGGATGGACTTCCCAAAGAGAACAAAAGTATCAAAATTGCATTTTATTTTAAACATCCCTACAGTTGGTGAAATGTTGATACTCATTTGGAGATGTAAGAAACTCAGACATAAACCATTAATTTGATATAAGCTTTTCATTTAAGTAAGGGGCTTTTGAGTTTAAAGGGGACCTATCATGCAAAATGCACTTTTGTACGTCTTTTATACATGAATATGTGTCCCCGGTGTTCCAGGGAACTCACCAAGTGTCAGAAAACACAACCCTCTCTATTTTCCTCCATACCCAAATCTCTAAAAAAGGGGCTGCAACGGATCTGATAAAAACTGATCCAGATTTGAACACTGTCCTGACGTCAGGACGGTGGCGCTACGGCTATTGGGCCAACTCCACCAATCAGGAGGAGACCGCCACGGCCATTGCCGTTCGAAAGCGCTGGAGACGCTGTAGTACATATGCCAGGCCAGTAGATGGTGCTGTTCTCACTGAATCAGCCCTTGCACAAACAGAGCTATACATTGTCAAATTGAGCAAAATGAGGCATGGCTAAAATGCATGATCTGTTTGGTATTTTGAAAAAAAAAAAAGTATAACTATGCCTTATATAGGTATGGTCCTACACTATATTATTATAATATAGCATGATAGGTCCACTTTAATGAAAAGGAAAAAAAAGATGAATGGTGAAATTGCTTCTAATTTTAGGACAGTGTGACCACTCTGCACACTATCAGTAAAGTTCAAATTCCATAGTGATTAATGTCTTTGTACACAACTCATTGGAGTGTTCCAGACTTGAGGATCACTTTGACAGATCACTGTCCCTACTCCCCATCCATTAAAACTTAAATTCTTTGGTGAAAGATCATTCATTTTGTTAAATGGGCATGATTACACAATTCTAAGAACATGTTGAGCCAAGACAAATATATTGTCCGTACATGTGTTTCTTTGAAAGCATGCAGCTGATAAAAGGATTATTTTTAGAATGGAATGTACACTATTGTTGACTTTCTGTAACTCAGCATTTAATCACACTTAACTACACATGCTATCATTAAATGGCAAGGCTCATAAACTGCGTTTCCCCTCAGCACTATCGCTTGAAAGTACAAGCAGAATATTTGATATAAGGTCACTAAGTAACATCAACGTTGCTTTGAATTATTTTCTTTGTTGCATTCATTTATTTCAAAAAGAAGAATGTCACAGCCAGCTGAAAACGATTACAGTTCCTGCTGCGTTTCACCATACCAAGACCATAAATCATGTTACCTAACACCATGTCAATTCATTTCAGCTGAATCATGAGTTAATTAGGATTTACTACATTCAAACCAAAAAGCAGATACATTCAAAACTAAAGCTCTAAAGATCAAACCTTTAGCATAACCACATGAAGTGCTTTGTTCAAGCTGCATTTGTTACATGTATCTTTCTGTAAAGCTAGATGGCAGCACAACACTTGTATCGTCTGATCAGTACTTCTACTACTGGCTCTCCAACCCTCTACATATCATCCATAGTCCCGCCAAGAACTGCATGACTCATTTGTAGTTTTTCTTGAGTTGGTATGTAAGACTTTCATCATCCAAACAAATTACATCGCTAATATAATTTGTTTCCAATAATATAAAAACATCACAATAACATTACAAAAAGACGATACTCGGTAATAAGATACTTAATTAACATGAAGAATACAGGACAAGATGGTTATTAACATTTAAGATACATACTTCATTGAAGTTTAAAAGAGACATGTTTAATATATATTTTCCCTGTATAAAAATATAGTTGTATGCTTAAATATAAGGTAGCTTTATAAATCCTTATATACAAGCAGATAAGTATATGTTTTTTTTTATATCGTAGTACATATAGTCAAAATTGCACTTCACAAGCTGTTAATCAAATCCAGGTAGTCCATGTGGCAGTTTTGGGTCCGGTAACATCAGAAAAATCCGTTCCTCCTCAGGTCACGGTTATTTCAAAGAAGATCTTCAGGAATTGTCTTCTGTCTCAGCTGCCAAGCTCGCTTTGGAAGCAGAAGAAGAGACGGACATTCTTGTCAAGTCCCACAGGCGTGATTTGAACTCATCCATAAATTACACACTTGTTCTGACTAGGGATTTCACGAGAACCGATACTTTGGTACGAAGTCAACACCAACATTATATAATCATTCGATTTTTTTTACAGTACTACTGGTTGTAGTGTCCGGTAGTACCTTAAGGTTCTTGAGACTACATGTATTTGGGACACAGTAATTGTTTTCTTTTAGATGTTTCCCTTGTAACGAATATGGAGAATAATGGAGTTTCCCTGGTATCGGTATCGACTACTAGATTTTGGGTATCCTACCATCCCTAGTTCAGACTGACTGATGCATGCAGAAATATATGATTGAAATCTCTCTTTCATCCAGATTGAACTATGCAATTCTTCCTTTGATGGACTGTAGCAGCCCTTCTTTCTGTGAATGTAGTTGTAAATCAGTGGAATAAAACCTCTGAGGGGACTTATCTTGATCTGCTGTGAGCAAATAACCCCAACAAGGATTCTCCTTTGTCTTTCCATGCCTGTCTTTAGGACACTGTGCGTGTGCTTTTGTGTCTGTGAACTCGCTGACCAGCTTCAATGCTCCGCCTTTGTCTTCCTGTCTGGAGGGCGAGTCGAGAGACATCCAGGAGTGAGCGTCGGCGGCGTCCGTACCCTCCGGAGCCCATCTTGTTCTCAGGGGCATTGACCTCTCTCGCGTTGTTGCTCATCTGGTGCAGATTGTAGAGCAGGTCGTGTAATGCACAGGTGACCAAGGCGCAGCCTGCGGCTTTGTTGGGTGTTCTTCTGCGTCTGATATGTAGCCCAAAGCTGGATAAAGAAAATGTAAATGTATGCGTTTTTTTAAGAATGCCTTCCAGGGTTGTTAAGTCTGACATGGCAACACAAGTGGACAGGGTGTAAACCCAAGTCGTAGAGATGTATCTAAATTCATGTAAATGTGTCAGTTCAATGGAGGGTAGATTATCCACATTATTATTATTACTTTAAATGTATTGTCCCTTAGGTCAAATTTGTGTTTCAGCCAAACATAGAAGAGACAGAAACGTTCGCACACAGACTAAGATACAAAAAAAGTAATACAATGCATGAATACATCAAGTATCAATCATCTAACCCAGTGGTTAAAAACAAAACGTATCATCAGTTTGGTCATTCTAAACATTTGACTGTTTTGTGGCCTGAGAAATGAAGGAATTATTCAGCCTGTAAGTCCTGTCTTTTAGAGGTCCAAATCTTTATCAGAAAATACGGGAGCTTAAACTCTCCATACTGTTCTTGGTAGGAATTTCATTTTTAATTCCTGTAAATCAGGAGATCATAAAGACCTTATCTTGTCTTACACATGCATCTGGGGTGCCTCTCACACTTAACAATGCAGAGCTTTGGGGTCCTCCTGGTTGCCTAATGGTTTAAAAGCCGAACATCAATTATAAATCCCTCCATGTCTACTACCTATTTCTACATTATCAGCCATCAACTTTGGGCAAAATTACCCTCAAAACGTAGCTTTTCTTGTTACCTTGACGGAAGTGATGCCAGTTTTCCATTCTCGTCCTGCTGCGCTCCAACATGGATTTCAGAGTGGCTCTCAGCGGCTGTCAATAAGGTGTTACACAGATCTCTCTTCATACGGGTGTGCAGCCATACTTTGGACCTGCCACAAAGAAAAGTACACGTTCTGAATAAACTGACACTTATTCACAGAGAATAAAAGTACAGACTTAAAATCATGATATTCAGAAACACGCAAAAATAATGATTCAATTAATTGCTGGGCTCAAGACATTTCAAGAGTTTTCTCAGGATGTTAAGAAATGTCATCACTTGATGGTTTCAGAAAATATAAATTGATAAGAAATTGCCCGAAATGTTTATCTGCAAGGGTGACAGATTGGCCACAAGTTGGTTAATCACAGACATAACGATATCTGCGAGTATTCCTATTGAGTAATAAGAAATGTAAGTACAGGAAGACATGTGGAAGTAGGGTTAGGGTTAGTAGATAGGGTAAGTAGTTTAGAGGTGACTTTTCACATAGTTTAGTTCACTGGAGAATGGTTAATTTCTTAACTGTCAAATGCCTTTCGCAACATTAATTCATCATTATTCTATAGTAACCAACTTAGGTGTCCTTATCAAACATAGTTTCTATTTGTTCCGACTCTTATGATCGGCTTCAAAAGTCCACAATGTGTCGGGCTATAACCAAACTGAATTGAACTGACTTTACTGGATATTTTGATATCAACATTACTTGAAATACACATCTCTTGTGTTGTTAAAGGGTGAGCAAATGACTTCTATATTTATTGATAAAATGATGAGGCTTCTTTTGTAAATGAACACAATGTTCTCTCAGAGCTTGTTGATCGGCTGCTCACCTTTTTGTCAGGCTGGTGTTGATCTCCCCTGTGGCACATTTCACCAGTGGCAGGACAGTGGTGAAAACACAGCAGCAGATGACCGTGTGCAGAGCTAATCTCATTTTGGCTGGAAGATGTAAAGATTAGAAGAAATTACATTTAGGAGGTTAACTTTGAACTGCAACATCTGGTGATGGATAAGACAGTACTGGAAAGGCTTTGGAGCGGCAAAACAGTGTGGTTAACAATCACACTCTGTTGCATTGTCAATTATAAATCCATATTAATGGATTTGTAAGGCATATTATTGGAGAAAAAAACATCTATTAATCTTACACCCAAAACCACGGGAAAGAAGTAACTAATTAAACTCTTAGTACCTCAATGTCATATCCCAAATTTCCCAGGAAATCAATTTACATTCTTAAATACCCGAAGAGTCCTTGTGCAATCCTTTAAAGTAATCTTGAATTTAAATAAGGATTATTTGAAAAGCCACTTACCTTAAGGTTTGAGCTTGGTACTTAGTGTAGATAATTGATGATGCACATCCAAGTATGTTGTATACTGTTTAGCAGAGTAAGTAGTTATTCCCCCCCAAGGTTTTAAAGAGTTTACCATGAGTTGAAGTCTGAAGTTTACACTGCTAACATGAGAGGCTTTATAGAAGGAGGGAGGGAGCTGTACCTGAATGCCAGACCCAGTGGGAGGGACTGTGGGACAGTTCATGTCTAACCCATCCACCCCACATGTAGACAGTAAAACCAAAAACATGCAAAGATTGTAATCAAGTCAGCAATCCTTCAAATGGCGTGACTACGGCTTGTTAGTTTGTGTGCATTTTCATTTTCCAAAAGTTTTGAAATAATCATTTTTGTGCATTTTAGGGTTTTGTAAATTAACACATTTGTTTTCCTCTGTCAATGGTTTATTTTTATCTTAACAAATTGGAGTCTTATGTGCACCAAGGCCATTTGCATATTGTTTGCCTTTTCTCTTAATATTTGTCTAAAAAACAAGTTGTTTTGGGAATCAGTATGGTGTTTTTATCGGCCATGCATGCTTTAAGGCAGTTAAGTCAAGTTTAATTGTTAATAGATATGTGTTTTTGGATGATTCTAGTTCAGTCTGAGTCAACCATCTGTGATTGTTAAATGGCTACAAAAGGTTAAGTATATTTAAATGACTATGGTGTTGTTACGGCAACTACATGCACGGTGCTTTTTACTGAACTTGTGCTCTTTCAAATGACCAGTTGAATCACTCTGAGTGCTATTTACATCCACTGGTTGTCAGGGTTCTGCATGACCACCTGTGTACAAAGATTAACTTGCATTCAAGTGCACATCGTTTTCAAAGTACCCACCGTACCAATTATTATTGTTTAATCAATAGGTAAATCGTATTCAAAGTTAATTTCAGGAGTCAAATTTGACCCTGACTCAAAACGGTTAGCCAAAGCATCTCAGCTCTGTTACAATAACATGTCATGTGGGAACTGTTTAATTTTTCCAAATGGAGTAGAAAAACACTTTGATATGGTTGATTGGTCAGCCATGTTTTATTTATTTTTGAAGAAGTCTTATTTTACTCAGAATTCATTGCCAATTAGTTATAAATATGAATGTCAGCACTGTAACTAGTTAAATAGACATGTTGTATTCAAGGTATTTACTGCTGAGAGTCGGGCTGCAAACCAAATGTCAGAAAATTATGGAAAATTATGACCATGAAATTGCAAGCCAACAGCCCAGAACCCAAAGATATTCAATGTACAATTAAGTGACAGAAATATTGCAAGCATCCTCACATTTCACAAACAAAAAACAAACAAAGTTTTGCATTTTTTTAAATACATCATTTCAATTCTAATAAGTTAAAACATTCTTAGCAATGAATTTTCCTTTAGTCAAATAATCCACTTGAGTGAGTAAATCATATGGGGGGAGGTTAGCTGTCCAAAATCACACCTAAAACCCTACAACTATGCATATGACCTCTTTATGATTATAATGATATTGTAATAACTGTGTTGAAATAATTTCCAATACATTACATACATACATTACATACATGTACATGTTATACGGTTAACAGAAACTAAAGTGGTATGAACTGGCAGACATAGAATGATCTTGAATCTTGCACTTACATACTAACAAAGCACTTATATACTAACAAAGGACTGGCTTATCTAAAGCTAGTTGAGTAGCACTTGAAATGTTTTGGCTCTATGAAACCTGATGTACTTATATTATTCTGTTTTCTTCAAGTTTGTATCTTCTTGGTCGAATGCACTTATTGTAAGTCGCTTTGGATAAAAGCGTCAGCTAAATGCAATGTAATGTAATGCAATACCCGCTGTAATATGGTTGTAAACCAAACCTCTTTTAACTCCTGTCTCAACCTGTTGTTCCCTATTCATGTCAAGCAGTTGACTAATACTAATAATGCCCTTCATCGCCTATTTCTTTGTGCACTTTCTGTGACAACGGTTGAATAGAATATAGACAAGAAATGCTGCAAGACCTGCAGTCAGTCTCTGAAATGAGACGTTTTGGCCCTTGGTGCAGGATGCCTCACCCAAACTGTCCTAACAAAGGGTCAGTCTATATGACTTCATGAGTTAAGTGTAAAACAGGACCAGAACTAGAAGACAATAACGCAGCGTCCACACGGCGGCGTGCGTTGAAGCTTGCCGGTGAGCTTGTCTGAAACTCGACCAACAACCAATCACATGAATCTCCCGCCCCGGACACACAAGCACGCGGTTTGATTGGCTAGAGCTTGTACTGGCATATGATTTGATTGGCTGACGCTTCCGCCGAAGCTTCCAAAGTTGAACATTGCTCAACTTTTGAAGCGAGCAACGAGAGCAAAGCGAAGCAACGCTCCCACAATGCAGTTCGGCAAAGCGTGACATCATCCCATTCAAAGTGAATGGGCAGAAGCGTTGAAGCTTCAACGCACGCCACCGTGTGGACGGGCCGTAATACATCATTTATTCACTGCTAATGGCCAAATGAACAGCTGCAGGTCTGAAAGCGCCCTAAGAAATTGTTGAACATTGCACAAATAATGTGCTGTACTTTCGATAAAAGACTTAAGTTGTAGTCCTACCCAGTTTTGCCTCAAACTTGTGTTGACCTGCGCTCCGCTGATGCAATCCGAGCATATATTACATCCACTACCAACCCCTGTAATCATCACCATCATGTCTGTAGGGTACATTTCTGTAATCCATTGTGCCAATGTCAGGTCTGTTTCGATTTGACTTTACAAAACACAGTAGCTTAAAAAAGTTTGAAAGTTCTCTAGAAGAACATGAGTAATGTATTTTGGATACATTGAATAGATAAACAAAGTGCTGCCATGGCAACAACAAGGCACACTTCATGGGCCAAAAAGATGATTCAATGATCTGTGTTTTAACATGATCCTGTTCGCAAACCTAATTTAAATACTGTTCTGCAGAATTGTATTAATCCAAAACAGAAATGTACTCATGATCAAAATATATCTATCTAGCCATAGGTGGTCACTATGGCTTTTATAAATGTTTTTGTATCCATATCAGTAAGCCAAGATTTTTTTCTCCCCTCAAATTGTTGCTGCAAAAATAGCTTTGATATTACATATACAATAGATTAAGACAATATGGTGTTTGGTTAGGGGACGGATGAAGCTGTGTTTGATTTCCACAGTCAGGGGTCAGTAGAGAACGATGTTAGCTCAACATTGGCAGGCATCCATTATGTGATATTATTAGATATTCGGCGTCTATTTATAGATACACATTTCGTTTTGTCGTTTTTATTACTACTGAGATATAAAGGCAGGTATTATAAGGAGTTTTATTAACCCTGCCTCTTTGGTATGTAATACCATGGGGCTCTTCTTGGGCCTGAAGTGAATACTCCCTGGAAATATACTGAGCGATAAGCACTCGACTAAATGTGACGCCCAAACATTTCTCAAACCTCATTTCGAAACAATGGAAAATCACAGTATCTGTTGTTGTGTGGAAAAATACAGGACCAGATATTTATCAATTACAGGTGGAAAACCAAAAGGGCCCTTGGCAACTCAAACTTCAGCCAAGGCCAAATGCCTTATCACACTATGTTAATGACAATACAAAATATACTGGCCCTAAGTACTAGGGATGGGTACCGTTAAGGTTTTAACGGTACTACTACTTTTATCGATACCGCTTATCGATCCAGTCCTTTAACGGTACTCTTATCGGTTCTTTTGGTAGAAAAAAATAAGGTAAACTAACTAAACAAATTGTGAAAAAAATTAACATTGCTTTTTATTTAAATTAAATAAATAATATTTCACATCAAAAGAAACAACAATGTTTTAACAAATCGTATTAAATAATGTGATGACAGAACTGTAAACAGAATAGCTGAAACTTTAACAAAATAAATAACTCAGTTACCTCTAATCATTAACCCGTGTTTGTATAATTGAGTTAACTCCGTGTGTTGCTGCTAGCATACATAATACCTGACGTGGAAACGTTACTCGTGGATGGGGCTACAGCGCTACTAGAAAGACATTCGAACCCGGTGCATTTCTCCGTCTGGATGTGGTGCACTTTTGCTAAATGTTTAGACAAATTGCTCGTGTTACCGCCCTTACATGCTAAACTCTTATTGCACTTTTGGTAACGACTAACGAGCATTGTCCACATCGAGACGGGTAAAGTTTAACCACACCTTTTAGCGCTTAGTTCTCTCCGCCATCTCCACCGTGTGTGTGTGTTGCTGCATGTAGCAGCTGCGTGTGTGCTGCCCCGCCCCCTCGCACACAGACGGGGGAGAGAGATCTCTCGTCTGGATTGGAAAGATCGAAAATACATCAGACGCATTTTTTTTGTTGCATATTAGATAACGGAGTTGGCGACACTAAGACTGCAATATACCGTAATTTCTGGACTATAAAGCGCACCTGAATATAAGCCGCAGCAGCTAAATTGAATGATGTGTACATATATAAGCCGCACTGGACTATAAGCCGTAGGTGTTTTAATGTTTAATTACCATATGTAAGGGTTCGTGCACAGAGGGGATTGTCGGGAAAGAGATGGCTGTTTGAGGAAGCTCCCATTTATTAACATTTCAACAAACAAGTTGCATATTTGCATAACGTATTCAAGTGTTACCATTTAGTGCAATAGTAGCTACAGAACATGTACTGTGCTGTGTAAACTGTACTGTATCACATAGCGTTTCAGACACACAAACTTTTCAACTTTCAAACTTAGGAGAGGTTACGTCTTCTTTGTGTTATAAGATAGGACTGGCAGGGTCAGTCAAACCTGGTCGTTATCCCGCGGAGCTCCTGTCCCGGTCCCTTGCGCTCTCTCGGCCCGGTGTCTACAGGGCTAGCCCGAGGATCCCCCGCTAGCATCCCCCGCTAGCATCCGCCGCTAGCAACAGGCCTTCAAAAAAATGTTAGAGGCGCTCCTGAAACAGCGTCAAAACGGGTATATTTCCCGGGCTATATATATATATCACGCTTTGTTTCACTCGTTTGTTGTTTTGTTCCTCCGTGTTTTCAGAGCAAGTCGTCGGAGCTGTAAAAATCCATAGATTAGC